AGCCTATGTGTTCTTCCAGACTATCCTCTACATCTATGCCAAATTTCATAGAGATCCATTGAGCCGTTTAGGCTACAAACTCTAACATCCATCCAACCATCCATCCATCCATCTAAACTTTCGAATTTATAACATTACTAAAGTAAGAGTATAACAAAAAAGGGCGCCCGGGCGCCATGTTGTTTCTGTTTCAAGTTTGCAACATGCCACATTTTTATTTAAGGCCTATTTAAAAATTACAGTCCCGCTTGTCTGGGCAGAAAAATAAGAAACTCAAGAAACGAGTAAGTAACGGAGGATTTTTAAAATTTAGTATAGTAATAATTTTATGGGAAAATCTTTATATTACAAGATAATTTAATAGCCTACATTCACATCAGAGAGCTGAAAATAAGTGAAGCGAATAATGTAACTTAATTGACCAATGAAATTAATTTTGACACAATACCAGACGATATTTTTAGATCCATACATGTTTATGAACTAGCTGTTCCCGTGCGACTTCATCCGCATGAAATTATGAAAATTTTATTTTATTGTTTACATTTGTCAAATTATCAATTACAAATCAAAATGACATGACATGATTGACAATCTTGCTTCCTTGATGTTGGCATTAACTTATGGTCTCTTGTCCACATTAGGGATTTTATCCAAAATATTTACCCTCTGAGTTTTATGGTGTAAAAATACATTGCCTAAAGCATGACGTAAGTGTAGGGCTTTTTATTAAAAAAACATTTATTTATAAATATGTTATAATTGCTGACATCTTAGATAACAAAGAAGTGTGTGTTTACGCTTTATTGTAATAGTATAGATAAATATAGATACATAAGTATAAGTATAGATGTATGGAGTCAATGGACAGCTATTACATGATGAATATAGAGTTTTTAATTAATTATTACCAATAATTTTCGTTTTATAGAGAAAGGTAAGTTTTTCAACATGGATCCCATCTTATTTTTCTATTTCATTATAAACTAGATTAATTTCGATTCGATTCGATTACATTCAATTCTACGTTCAACGAAAGCTTTAAGTAATTAAGGGTACAATAAAATTCCAAAAATTACATGTTATTATTTATTATGGTAAAAATAATCATAATATGGTTTAAACACTTGACTTGTAATCTAAAAGTCTTGGGTTTGAATCCCCTCAGTGGGGACGTATCAGCACCAGCTGATGATGAAAAAAATAATATGTTTACTTAGCTTTTTCTTCATTCCATTTATTAAACTTTAATAATTTTACATTTTAAAACGTTTTGTAGCCGAAGGTAAGATAAGGTGTTTTCTTCGTGTCTATTTCAACAAATATTTACTCGAACTTTCCCAAAGTAATTAATAACAGGAATTTTTTTATTTCTTTTTTTTTCGTGTTTACTTTTTCAGATGGAATCCGTAAGATGTTTATTTTAAATTTACACTTACATATATTCGCAATATAGAACAAAAATAATTATATTTATATAAAATGATTTAATTTTTCATTCAAACAGAATTTCGACTACGACGTAAGTAATTTTCTTATATAAAAAGTCAATTAATAGAATATACACATCTACACTGTAATCTATCAATATTTAGCCGTTTTGAAGATAATAAACCATCTATCTATCGTTTTATTTTATTTTATAGGTCGTTGTATAATGTACGTAACTGTTCAATTTATTTTGTACCAGCTTTCGCACCAACTCATTCGCGAAGAATCAAAAAAACAAAAGCAAGTAGCCTATGTGTTCTTCCAGACTATCCTCTACATCTATGCCAAATTGATATCCGTTCAGCAGTTTAGGCTACAAACTGTAACAAACATCCATCTAAAATAGCATTTATATGTGTTGATATCTGCTAATTGTAGATATTAACTAATTCAATTCAAATAAATCATCATCATCATCATCTTCCTCCTTATCCTACTCCCGTAGGGTGCAACAAGTTTTTGTCCTCCACATAACTCTATCATCCGTCATCTCAGTCACTCCCTTCTTGATCATGTCATTCACACAATCCAATCCAATTTCAAATAACTCAACGTACTAATGCATATTTATTTCAAGGCAATGCGGTCGCTGTGAAAAACTCATGCAATAAATTTATACAAATGAGAAAACTGTTTCAATAATACCATTGTGTTTGAGGTTAAATTGCTATGTCAAACACAAATGGAGCGTTACCATATCAAATAAAGTTAACCTTCTTTAACTGAGTATTATCTACGCTGAAATTGTACAAGTCAATTTTATATTATCAACATAGTAACAGTATAGGAATTTGATAAAAAGAATGACAATATCTTATACTCGTTATTTAACAAATTTATTAAACAAATATCAACAAATATCACTCGCTAAAGATTCAACCATTTAGAGTATATCAAACTTATTTCTTTTACCACTCCATTTGAAAATCAATGATTGTTCAGCGCCCCCCATTTTTATACAATTTTAGTGAAATTTAAAATACTATATAAAATAATTGAAATTACAATTTAAACATGGCGATGTTTAAATAACCCTAACCTGTGGGTTAACTCCCCTCATTTTTTCTGGGGCCCTATAACGCCCCCTCTAGGTTTCAAAAGCCCCCAAGGGGGCGTTATCGCCCACTTTAAGAAACTCACAGAAGATTGACATGTTCTGATTCGTGTAGTACAGGACAGTACAGGACAGTACAGTTTTTTTACCTTGATTAAAGGATGGAAAGTTCTATTAAGCAGGGAAGAGATGGATAAGAAGGGAAATATCTCTGGCACACTATATTCTTTCTTCCGTTCATTAAATTTAAGTAACGTATTGACGAAATCATCAACCAACGAAATGTTTTGGTAAAGAATTAAACTGAAAAATAATGTTTTTTTATTCTTTCTTTATTTTATCTGACAAATGAATTTATGTGTTTTATTTTGTTCGTTCGAATTGCTATTGTTAATACATTATTCCTACGGTTACGGGAATTAGAGCACTTGTTTGTAATTTGTTTGGAATTATGTCGTTTGAACGTTTACATTTTATATAAGTGAAAATCTATTTTTCTGTACTGCCACTATTATTTATTGCATCATTAAAACAGGTACGTTTATAATTAAAAAAAAAATGAGATAAATAAAGCGTTTGTTTGTTTTTTCTTTTTTTTTTTTGCTGTAAATATCTCTAATAATTATTTTTTTAGGATAAGAAATCGCTAGAAAATGTCAAGACCGATGCATTTAATATTTATGCTGTTGATTTTTGGATTTTTCGCTATGTTTAATGTAAGTAATATTAAGCACAATGTAAATATAGTTCATACTATAATATTATAAATGCGAAAGTTTAGATGGATGGATGTTAATAAGAGTTTGTAGCCTAAACGGCTAACCGGATCTCGATGAAATTTGGCATAGATGTCGATATCCAGGAATAACACATAGGCTACTCACTTTTGTTTTATTTATCATATTCAACGCGGACAGAGTCGCGGGCAAAAGCTATTTAGTAGTAATTAATGAATATTACAAACATGAAAATCTAGATGTATGTATGTTACTATGTATATCTAAAATAATTTAAGGGTTTTTAATTTATTTTGTCACAGATATAGAACATAGTCTGAAAGAACATAGCCTATTAAATTTCTTTTTCCGCGCAGACGGAGTCGCGGGCGTCAGCTAGTATAACAAAATTAAACATAAAAAAACGATTATTTTAAAATATTTCAGACGTCCCAAGTGTCCCGGTCGTTTCTGAAAAATCTGAAAAAACCTCGTTTTAACAACAGAGGTGTTGGGGCGAGGATATTTTGGCCTAAACGAAGCGTGGTAAGTAAACAAGATACTTTTAACCTTCTTCTATATGTTAATGTGGTGATGACAAATTCTCCTTCCCTTCCACACAAAAAGAGGGAGAAAGAGTCGATGAAGCATACTCAGATTCTTACTTTATCCTGTCTATTAAGTATGGCTACAAGCAGCAGTCATTTCATTCAAATTTTTGGTCATTGGTCGAAATTTTAACATAATTCAAATTTTCTATAGGTAATATAAGATTGTTTGTTTGTATTGAACAGCTTTGAAAATAGCAACTATTTCAAACTTTAATCATTAAAAAGCTACATTATCACTGAGTTACATTATATATCATATCTTACTAATATTATAAATGCGAAAGTTACGATGGATGGATGTTTGTTAGCGTTTGTAGCCTAAAAGGCTGATCGGACCTCCGTGAAATTTGGAACAGGTTTAGAGCATAGTCTGGAAGAGCACTTAGTCTACTTTTTATCCCGGGAATAGTTACGGATCCCGTGGGATTCATTAATTTAGTTTTTTAACATTTACTCGATCATCCTGCAACGGTACAACATATCGTATTGAAATTTTGCACAGATATTAAACAAAGTCTGTAGTACACATGGGATAAAGCTTCATCCCCGAGAAATGTCCGGTTCCCGAGGGATAAGTAGGTTTTTCTTATTTATATAGTCGTATATTTTCTTATACCACGCGGACGAAGTCGCGGGCATCAGCTAGTATATATTTATAACTAGATATTTTAATCTTGCTCGGTTGAAGTCGCAAGCAAAAGTTAGTTGAAAATAATTTTATAAACATGATTTTTCATACGATCATCTGTTTATTTTTAAAATTAATGCAAAGACAAACTCACATATTTTAAAGTAATATTTGTGCTGTTCACATTTCAGGATGAGAGAGACTACACTGGACATGGTCACGTATACGACGATACAATGCCAGTTAGATTTACGGTAATTACTAAATATCTAGACAGTTAGAAATACTTTTTACAAAAAACAACGAATCAGGCAGAATTAGTGATGCCAACAAAAGCTTAAAACGTACTCCCACCTGAAACTAAACTATCGCAAAACTGTTTCATAATAACTTAAATAGGGGTGCGCACAATACTCGTATTTTAGTCGTCCAACTAAACAGTATTGTATTGGTTGTGAAACAATCGACAATCGCACAGTTGTGCTATAGGTTAGTCACAGGTGTGCGGTCGCTGTTAAAGGTATGTATAATCAAAACTAAAAGTCTCCACTGACCACTCAGGGGGCCTGCCCTTAGTGAGAGGTGACTAGGTCATAGTCAACCCTAGCCTACTGCAGGTTGTCTTCACATATCTATGAATTTCGCCGATATGTGCAGGAATCACGATGTTTTCCTTCACCGTAAGAACGACGGATAAATTTTATACAAATGAATATTCGAAAAAGCGAAAATCACATTGGTACAGCTGGATTTTAATCTAGTCATTTTAGTAACTTTAGTTTATTAGGCAAGTAGAAATCTTAAAAAGTTGTAAGAAATTTGTAAAGTTATTTGACAAAATATGTCACAAGAAAGAAATAAACTTTCCACCCGCACCTAACGTCCCTATCCCAAAAATATGCTAGGGGAACGAGAGAGTGGCAAGACCTGTAGATTACAAGTCAAGTGTTTAAACCACTGAGCCACCGACGTTCTCGAAATGTACATATGAAATTATAAAATTATATGACACTTTGTTACATAGCGGGATAAGAACTTTGTCAAACAGATAACAAAAGCTCGTTTGTTAGTAATTTTTTTTTGTATTTCAGACTCCAGGGTCAGGAGGATGGTACTGTAAGTTTATTTTCATAAGCTATCACACTTTTTTAACTAATTGTGGTAATGATAAGATGGATGTGTGGGGTAAAAAGATTGGATAATATACGAAATGAGTATATTAGAGGAAGTTTGAGAGTAGCCCCAGTAGAGAAGGTAAGGAGTAAAAGGTTAGAGTGGTATGGCATGTTATGAGAATGAATCGCATGTTAGTTATGAGTGTGGAGGTGTACCGGTAGAGGTAGACCTTGAAAGAGATGGATTGCATGAAAGGTGATATGATCAAGAAGGGAGTGATGACTGAGATGACGGATGATAGATATGGAGGACGAAAACCCGGTGCGCCGACCCTACGTAAGTAGGATAAGGCAGGGGAAATGATAATGATGATGTGGTAATCCAATATAGTTTTTTTTTAACTGATCTAACAAAACTGTATTATAAAATATTATAAACTATCTTTCACCCGTGGCTCGTTCTGTCTGTAATTAAATTAACTAGTTATTATTTCTTTTAGATTTCTTTTTGAACGTAAACAAAGATTTGGAAGGACGAAAGGTGCGTATTATTATTTATAAATTGTAAACAGTCTGTTTAAAGTTAAGAAAATATATTTGTCGATGACTTTACACATATAGCTGTCTCTATTTTTTTTAAACAGAACATAAGGGACGACAATATGTTTTATACAAAAGTTTAGACAGTGGAAAACCACTGTGTATTTTTACATTAACATTCTTTTGTTTTCAACAGGACTTGGGAGTTTACGAAGATTAGTTTTTAATTGAAAAATTAATAAATATATGAAGCCCTTGTCAAAATGATTTTTTTTATTTATTCCTCGTACTTTAAATTTTAATGACAATTATACTGTGATTATACTTATCTAACTGATATTTAGAGCGGACGCATCCCTTTGACTAAACTATCGTAGAACAGTTGTGCGATTGTCTTTTCGCAGCTAATTTAACTGTTTAGTTACACAACTAAAAACAATTATGCGATAGTTTAGATGGATGGATGTTTGTTAAAGATTGTAGCCTTAACTGCTGAACGTATCTTGGTAAATGGCATAGGATAGTCTGGAAGAACACAGGCTACTTTTTTTTAAATTCCACGTAGACGGATTCTTGAAAACGAAGACGGATTCTAAAAAAGTGTTTTTAACCGACTATAAAAGAAGAAAGTTCTCGATTCGATCGGTACTTTTTTGTATGAGTCGTTTTACGTGTTTTTTTTCTTTTGTTTGAATATCTACCATTCAAATATGTATGGATTGTGTGAAAGAGGATTTGCTTAAGAAAGGAGTGGATTCAGATATGACGGCTGATAGAGATGTATGGAAGAGCAGCACATACTATGCCGACCCTCCGTAAGGGATAAGGGCAAGTGGATGATGATGATGATGATGATGAATATCTACCATTTTGTCCCATTTTTTTTCAAAATTAATGACTATCTAATAGTTGTTGGTTTCAAAATACGCTATTTTTTTTAAAAAAGTTAAAAATTTTTGTCTAACGAACCTAAAATTAACAAAAAATGAAAACCGACTATAGGTTTTCTTTTTTTTTTTGTTAATTTTCTTGCTGGAAATATTTCTAAATCCATTCGTTTTTGAGTAAATGACAGTTTTAATTCAAATTCGGTATAGACTTATGAATCTGACTTATGAAAGATCTGGTTGGTGTCCGTTCTATCGATTTCTGTTGAACATCTATGTTATTCAATTTCAAAACTGATTGCTATTGATTTTGCAAGTATTTTTCACGCGAAATAATTAATTTTCTTTTCCTCGTTTAATTAAACATTATCCAATACATAACTCTTTTCTACAATAATTAGAAAACTTGTAACTAAATTACTTCAAATCAAAGATATCTTTGTTTAAGTTGAATTAATTCATTTCTCTCTTTTCCGTGATCGTCGCCTGTTTACCGAAAAAAAAAATCAACATGTCGATGAAAATGTATTTCATTATGTTACTTATGTTTGGATGTTTCTTGATATCGGTAAATCTATTTACATTATATTATCTGTTAAAAAATTAAGTGTTAATATAGCTTTTTAATTGTAAAATGGTATTTATTTTATAGACGAAGTTTGTTTTTTTTTTCATATTTTTTATATATTCCAGTGCCACAGTGCCAGGATCTGTGTAGGCGGGGTCTGCATAAGTACTGTAAGATATTCTATCTTTAACTTAAGTCATTCATAATTACATATTTTAAAATTTGTCAATGCTAATAATATAATTCTATTTTTAAATATCAAGCATACGCAAAAACAAGGTTTGAAACGTACTAAAACAGGATCGCGTAACACCAAAGAGGGAGGAGGACAACCACAAGGCATAGTGAGTAAAATAAATGATTTTAAAACCCAAAAAAACGGACAAAATACACTATAACGTATAATGTTCGTAAGATACGGGTTTTTAGCTTTTTTTTTAGCTCCCGATATTTCGGCACAGTTGCGGCAAGAAACCCGTATCTTACGAAAATTATATTTGTAAAAACCACGACAGTTTAAAGTTATATATGTATATACACTATAGCGCCTTACACTTCGACAACGTATGCAGAATGACAGCTCTTGCTTCATTCCACTGATCTGTTTAAATAGATAGGCGATTAGACGTGTCTTTTGATGTTAATGAGCAACATATCCATTTATATAGATGTATTTTAATACTTGAATATGCCTGTTAAGAGCCGACGCATCTTTGACTAATTTATCGCATATCAGTTGTGCGATTGTCAATTGTTTCGCAGATAATTCAACTGTTTAGTTGCACAACTAAAAATCGAGTAGTGTGCACCCCTTTATAAGAGCATAAAAATCAAAGCGAGATTAACAGTTGTGCGATAGTTTGGTCGAAGCTGTACGCACGCTCTAAGATGTACTTACAGGAGTCATTTTGATAGAAGTATATTGAAATGTGTTTATGCGACCATCTTCTGTGTTTTTAATATCAAAAGAAAAATTCCAGATTTAGGTAAGATGATGTATTTGCGTTGCTGATAACGTAAATCGCATTTAAACATTTTTTGTCTGTCTGTCTGTCTGTCTGTCCGCAAGCCGCGTTTGTTCGACCGGATTTCGACCAGACTTTCATTGAAGGGTAGCTGACATAGACGGGCATATTATAGACTACTTTATCTTATTGCGTGGACGACGTCACGGGCAACAACTAGTCTTTAATGAGAATTATATTCTTCCTATTATAAACATGATATCTAGTCCGTTATGCATAAATTAAACTAAAATATGACAGCTCACTAGCGCCCTCCTTATGTTAATGTTTTAGGTTATACGATTCCCACAATCTGATGCCGGACAGGAACAATATGACGTGAGTCAAAGATATATTATATCTTAATATTATAAATGTGAAAGTTTATATGGATGTTTGTTAGAGTTTGTAGCCTAAACGGCTGAACCGATTTCGATGAAATTTGGTATAAATGTAGAGGATTGTCTGGAAGAACAAATAGGTTACTCTTGGTTTAAACACATTTTGAAGTTTATTAGAAGAATACAGATACTAACGATCTAATACTGAACAATTAAATACTACATAGACTCTAAACGCCGTTAAAAATTTGCTGTCTGTCAGATTGCAGCGACAAGTCAAGAATTTCGTAACAGTTTTCGGCCGAAAGAGTTTAACAATAATTTAATGTTTTACATTGAATTTGTTAAAATTGAATCTAGTCATTTCCACTTTTTTAATATGACAGTCGTAAAATTTACATTTAATATCATTATTTTATTTTCAGCAGAATGCGGAGGACGCATAGTAAAGTTTTATCGTGTCAATAAAGTGAAATCATGATTTATTGTTTTATTTTTTTTCAATGTCCTTTTTTTATTCGATAAATTAGAATTTTTTACAAGAAATACACATTAGGTATTTAGTTTAAAAAATTATACAGATTGTAGTGTTTTAGGAATCCGCAGCGGGAAAAGAGTTTTATTTAAACTTAAATTTACTACTCGACAATAGATGGCGTACTGTGTCAATCTATCAGGTTGAAATGGGTAGTTACTACTTGCCACTAGATGGCGTCATCAACGACCTTATAATAACACCAATCGTAAAAAATAAATAAAATTGGTTCATCCTTTACTTCGAGTGATTTATTTCATAGATTTTACTTTTAAGCAAAGGTTACGTGAAACTTCACATCAAATAAAGAAAATCATCGTGTTTTGAGTACCTGATATTTTACAGCTTCTTTACTAATATAAATCTATACTAATATAAATAGCCTAGGATGTCAGCAATCACAGCATATTTTTGAATAATTCTTTCTTTAATAAAAAGTCCTACACTTACGACACGTTTTCGGCTATATATTTTCACGCTATTAAACTTGGGAAGGTAAATAAATTAAAAAAAATCCATCATGTGGGAAAGGGACCATAAACTACAAGCAGCCAACATTAAGGAAGAAATTGTCATTTGTGCATTTGTAATTTGACATTTGCAAATGAGAATTTGACAAATGTAAACAATAAAATAAAGTTTTTATAATTCCATGCGGATTGCGCACGGGAACAGCTAGCTAGTGTGTAATAAAATTTAGATGCATGAATGTGTTTGTTTCTACGTGCCTCTCGAACATCTCAACAAATTTCTCGTTAAAATTGGGCGTAGATGTAAAATTAAGGACCTAAAAGGTAAATAAGTTATACATGTATCTAAAACTAGTTGTTCCCATGCGACTTCATCCGCATAAAATTATAAAAATGTCATTTCATTGTTCACATTTGTCAAATTATCAATTGCAAATGTCAAAATGACATGACATGACAAACCTTGGCAATCTTGGTTCCTTGATGTTGGCAGCAACTTATGCTTTCTTTCCCACATTAGGGTTTATATCCAAAATATTTATCTCCTAAGTTTAATGGCGTGAAAACATATAGCCTAAAGCGTGACGTAAGTGTAGGGCTTTTTGTATAAAAATTAATTATTCAAAAACATGCCGTAATTGCTGACAAC